GGCGGTATGGTGGCTTGCGCAGTACAGCATGATGTTGCTAATTGATACATGGTACAGTAGGTCAGTTTGTGCGCCCCACCTGATCCTGACCCATGACTTGACTGGGTCACTTGATTGCCGATAATAGTGCTATGCTTAGTTTTTGAATAGTTGACTTTTTGTCAACTTCTACGAAAAACATTTGCATACACTATTATGGGCGAACATCAGCTAGAAAAGCTGTGAATAGTTTTTATTTACTAGTATTGTGAGTACATGAAATATAGTGATAATAGATAGAGATTGATAGCGCTGCAACAATGAATATCCCAAAAATTAGCAACAGATATTGCGCTGAGAGTCACTGTAGCAGAGCATGTAGGAAATAGATAGGTACTGTTAGATTTGTTAGATTGGTTATCAGCTGGTGGTTTCCCACTTGCCGCAGCAAGCCGGCTATTAAATAACAGAATCAGGTGATTATCCCAAGAAGGTGAGTAGATTCTGTCATTTATGGCTATGTATGTTAGGGCCCCGGTGTCAGGTTATTGATTATGTTTGTTTTATTCATAGAGCCCTTTATTTTTGAAGTTATACTGTCATTTTGTATGCATTTATTATATTGTTCATTGCTTATTATGTGTTTATTCCTATTACATGTGTCGGTTCTCTCTTTTTTTTTTTTTTTTGTTACTTGATATGCTTAGGTTGTCTTGTTTAAAACCTTTCTGTTGTAGAAGCGCCCGTGTGTGTTCGTGTGCTGAGTAGTTGAATCGTGATGTTGCATTGTATGCATTGTGGTTTGTCTTGTCGTTGTTGTGTCTTTGTTCTCGTCGTATAAAACCTGCAGATTTCTCTCTCCCCTTTTTTTCCTTTTTTTATTTCCTATATTATCTATTATGTTAAATTTTATTTCTTGTATGTGAGTATGTATTTGTGATATAATTGTTCTGTTGTTGCTGCTTTACTCTCTTTCGCTCTTTTTTTTTTTTTGATTTGATTTTTTTTTTTTTTGATTTTAATTTTGATTTAGATTTTCTGAATTTTTTTTTTTTTTTTAATTTAATTTTCCTTCCCCCTTTTTTTTATTTTATTTTATTATTATTATTATATATATTTTTTTTTTACGCATCTCTGAGTATGTCTGTGTGCTTGTATGTTTGATTTGTCTAATGGGCTTTCCTTTGTGCGTGTTCATGCTGTCGCTGACTAGGCCCAAGTTGTTCCAAGGTTGTGACCAGGGTCAGTCGGTGTATACTTTGGTGAGAATTGTTGCGATCGTTGCAGGGTGGCTGCAGATGTATCTGTAAAATGATTCAGAGTCCCAGCGACCAATTTTTTGTATAAGAACAAGCTGCATACCATGTGTGACAAGCTCCGTAGTTTCTCCTGCTCGAAAGCTGTGTCCAGCCACATTTTCATTAGAAAGTAATTGTTTGAGTTTCGTAATGAACCAGCGCTTGGTGGCCCATGATCTGTCTTCCTTTATGAATAATAAGTTGCTATTACTTGCGTAATGCGATTGTGTTCGAATGACGGCGTATGACTTCAGGGCACACACGGAGCACAGGGTGTCATTAGTTGGATGTATGATGAGAGACGTGCGAATGGCGGATTTGTGTTTCTTGGTTCTTGCTAATTGAATGATCACGAAAGTGTTGCTCCCGGTTGTTTCGAACTTTAATGCTATTACGGTTGGGATTTTGTTTAGGTCTGGTTGGTTGTTTGGTAGGAGCTCGCCCAAGCATGCGAGACTGTAGAAAGC